ATGTTTGCGAAATAATATAGCAATAACATAGTTAAAAAAATGAATTGGTAATGAATGGGTATCTAAAAGAAGCTAGCAAGCTGACAATATTTGATGGAATTTTTCAGGATTGTTGACCGTTGATCATTTGAGAGTAGAGAGATACCTGAGAGAATAGCAGGAATTTCTGAGCGTTTTACACAAATTATCTACTTGTGGCTTACATTGCAGGTTGTTATCAGAAATAACTCCTAACAATTTGGTTGTCGTTGTGGGATTCAATGAATATCAGGGATGCAAACTGTACAACAAACTTCCCGACGATATTGAAGTTTGTGGAAATTCAGGTACATATTTTCAAAACAAAAGTTGAAGCAATTGTTATTGTCAATAAACTGCTACACCGTTGAGTTTCAGCCGTAAAATTGAAAATTTTCAAATTTATCCATTGAAATAATGAAGATATAAGTGTCTTAGTGTGTTATACTATACATTCAATCAACCTATGTATTTCCGATTTTTTTGTGTTCAGTAAGAATTTTTTTAAGATTCTTCATAAATTTGTTAAATATGGTTATAGTTTTTATTTCATGGGGTAAATAGTTAAAGAACCTTGGAACCAAATGGGTATAAAAGTATTGAACGATAAACTTTGAGGCAAATGGTATTCTAAAATATACACATGAATCATCAAATGACCAGGTAAAACTCGAGTATTTGAAATGTAGGTACTTCAAATTGTAAAATTGATTATATAAAGCTTTGAATATGTAGAATATAGTTAGTAAAGACACGCCCGAAAAATCAGTGTATGGTGGAACACGTGTTGCGTTTTTGTAAAACCGTATAGTGAAAATCTCAAGTGTCGGCTAATTCCATAAAACATGTTGAATTTGGTTTGTTAACTGCCAGCAGAGGAAAACTTTGTGAAAGAAATGTATGTTACAATTAAGAAATATTTAGGATGCTGTGTGTCAAATTAGCACAAAATTGAATAAATATTGACGAATTACTTTATACAGCTAAATTAGATTGATGAAAATTAAAAAGCAAAAATTATTTTGTAATTGTCATTTGAAATTTTCCCTGCACAAGCAAATTGATTTTTGTTGCTTCGAGTCAATTTTTCATAAATGAGACAAAATTCTATTAACTAAGCTCCTTCAATTTGTAATTATTCGTCTTTGAATACCAAAAAGAGTCAGCAACTACAACATTTTCGGATGAAGAAATGTCGAATAGATACTTCTGTGACTTCTTGTAATAGAAATCTAAAGAGAAATAGTTTTAGCCTTCTACTTTTTCCATATTAATATGTGAACAGTTGAGAACTTTCGGAGAAAAAAAGGAACATTCCAATATATATATAGTCGAAACTTTTTCTACCAGATTTGTAGATCATGAACAGAAATTTCTTTCAGAAGCCGAAATTGAAAATCTATTCGAAATCGGTAACTAGGTAGGTACTTTCGATAATATCACTGACTTACACGAAAATCAGTTTTTCTTTTTCATTCTATATACCAAATAATCGTAATGATAGTTGAAGAAAATATAACAAGAATGAATGAAATACATGAAATCTTGTCTATATAGAATTTTATTTATAAGAAAAGCATTCAATTTTCAGTTGGACCTCAGGAAATTTCATCATCTCATCTTTGGAAGAAGATTCAATTGATGTTTGAAAAAATCCTTACGATTATATAACATTGAAAAAGACAAATTTGCTCTAGTATGAGAACAGTTCGTGACAATTATCCATTCCCTACAACTATATATAGTCACCTTAAGTCCAGTCATGAGAATTTCATCAATTGAAAAAGAAATATTTTCAGGATGTATCCTTTTTTGGAAGAAACCCTCTTGGCTATATTATTCTATATTGATAAGTATATGAAAAGTGGGTAGGCACCTTCAAAAAATTAAGAAAAATTAAATATGTCACAANGAAACAGAATAAAATTATATGATGAACATCTTTTACTTCCATGTTCAAGAAGTTGATATTGGAATGCTTCCATTTACTGATAATAATTGCTCATTTGATCAGGACCGCGAGAATTTCATCATTTTCCGGGCAGAAGTAGGGGAGACCGGGGTTGGAAGTCACATATTTTGTCTTTTGCATTTTTAGTGTCCTTTTTCATAAATTTTCAATAATAATGTTTTTATACTCTTCTAAAAAGAAATATTCCTTATTTCTCCAACATCATCCATAAAGGAAATAAATGAATTCTTATGGAAACGAAAAAGTGTGACTTTTAACCCCGGGCCGGGGATGGTTGTCACAGTAACAGGGGCAGGTAGTCACATAGATAATTGAGGGGTATAAAAAACATTCAAATGAATATTGAAAGTGGAATAATATATGCAATTAGTTATATTCAAGAAAAAAAAAACATATTTGCTAAAAACTAAAAATACCCATCCTAGCGAGAAATTATATTTAGTCAGTCTAAAATTCAGTGAATATTCGAATTCACAATTAATGCAAATGTAAACTGGCAAATGTAACGCTATTTTTTGAATATTCTTGGGAGACGAACCGAAATAAATATTTGAAGCCATATAGGTAAGTATGTATTTTTCTAATTCTTTCTTCTATTTGTCGGTGAAGATTTACTACCTTTGATAACCAATTTTTCAACCAAAAGTGATTATAATGATGATGATGATATGATAACACCGTGTTTCTTATCTTTTCAACAGTGTATTTTTTACAAAACAGTGTCAGACTGCGATAATAATTAATCACAAAATCACTTATCTTGCAGCAGGCAGTATCGCTGCGTGAAATTCTAGTCGATCAAATTTTCTCATATGATGCCATGACATTTCTATGATTTTCTCTAAAACAAACAAAATTGTATATAACATAAATGAAACGAAAAATGCAGCACAAATATATATGGTGTTGGTTGTCACATGTGACTACCAGCCCCCGTCAAGTTGAGACAACGAGCCCCAAAACACATTTCAAAACAAAACCCCCTAAAATAACTCTGAATCAATATTTTTTCATAAAAACGGATAGTGATATCATGAACCACAGATGTCTCATCAAAAATACATGAAATAATATATGACTACGGAAAATTATAGCATACTTATGGGACTCGACACAAATGCACAAAAATTTACTTTCGTCGTCCGAAAAACACAAATGTAAGTATCTCCCTAAAACAGTATGAGGGTGAACCGAAGTGACGTTAGAATGAGGGAATTGCTCTTGCGATCCTTCAATTTTGTTCGATAAACTCTGAAAATATGATAATTATATTAAGCAAAAAAAACTGAAATTGCAATGAAATAAAAAACAAGCATCAATAAAAAAATTGAACTATTAACACGAGATAAAAATAAAACTTACTAAGAAGAAATGAAAATTAAAAATCAAAAGATTACAAGCTAAGTTACTTCACGACGTTTCGATTGTTAATATCCACAATCATCTTCGGGTGATAGATACTATTTACTTCAAGACACATATGAATATTCGAAATGGTAAGTAGGAAGATGTTTCATGGAAAAAAGCATTATTGGAGTTCAAGAACTAGTATTCTTAAGTTGTTTTTCTGAGTTATTGAACAAAATAGTTGATCTAAAAGTAACCCACCTATTTGGAGGCGTAGCACTAGTGACAATGTTGGGATCAGTGGTTTCTGGAATAAAAGAGTGAAGCTATTACTTCACGACGTTTCGATTGTTAATATCCACAATCGTCTTCAGGTGATACTATTTACTTCAAGACATATACAAATACTCGAAATTACTAAAATGATAAGTAGGAAGATGTTTCATGAAAAAAAGCATTATT